CCCCCCCCCTACCCCCAAAAAAAGGAAAGAGGAACAGTTGACACAGAAAGACGTAAAAGATATAGTAAAATGGTAACAATATATTCATGCAGTCTGAGTTCTGCATTTTTGTTTCAGTTTGGCAGTTGTTTATTTATCTTTTCTGTACATATATCTTTGTTTTTCATGAATGCTACTATTGACATTTAACGGTTTTAAGGTCAGGCCCTTCTATCCTCCCTCCTTCCCATTAGTCAGGTTGGGACATTTAACATTTATACCAAACTGACCTTTGGTACATTTAGTCATATCTGAATGAATCTTGTGTCTGACTCTCGTTAACAGTCCTTTGTGTTTGTCATTGACCTGTTATCCAGAGTTTAATAGTCATGCGGATAGCTGAATTACGTCGTTTATGTTTCAGACTGCTGCAGAGCTGGAAAAGCGGAGGGAGAATTTCAAAAACGAGCTGGACTTTGTCTGTGCTGATGTGGTACAATTTCTCCCATAACTTGGACTGAAGCACATTTAATACAGTATTGAAGTTGCACCAGTTAGAACCCTAATCCACATAATAAAACAATATTGGGTAAAGAAGGTGAAGCATTTCAATCCAGTTAGAGCTGCAAAATAAGTTTTGTCTCACATTTAGGAAGCAATTATTGCTCTATTGCAATGAACAATTCTTGAGCAAATTATGAGGTATTATGTTGAACATCTATTAGATTGTGCTTGAGGTTCTAACTGAAGCTGAACATTCTGATATATGTTTTAGTACTCATTTTGCTTGCCTATCATTGAAAGCCATAACTCTCTAGCTGACACTACTTTTTGGGTACTGGAGAAGTAAATATTTTTTTGAAATTTCTATACTTGACTCGGAGTGACGTGTACTGTTACTCAGGTAATGGCCATTGTTGCTGATTTCATGCTGGTCTGGCTCCCAGCTCCGACTGTTATTCTCCGTCCTTCTCTTGCCATTGGTGCTGCGCCTCTTAGTAGAATTTTCTACAACTGCCCCGACAACGCATTTCAGGTTTATGATTTATGAAACTAAAACATAATTTTGATGAAGTAAATAGTATTATATGAAACTAAAACATAATTTTCTCATAAATTTTGTTCTCCCTTTTGTGGTATAAGGGGACGTGCTCGGGTCACCTGATACTAGTAACTGATTTAAATTTCCGTTTTATCCTGTTCTCAGGTTGTGTTAGCTGGTACTTCCTATACATTTCTACAGAGAATAGGCGCTATAGTGGTAAAGCATTTGATAAATTTACAATAAGATTATCTTATTTAATTGCAAATTGTATGCATTTATGAAGCTTAGAAGAGTCTAACTTGTCCTGCAGAGAAATGGGGCCAAACTCTTTGCAGTTGGTTCAGGCGCATCTCTGGTAAGTCTGTGAAGGGCTTTTCTTCTTGGTGGACAAGAAAATATTGTGGGAATCACAAGATGTTGTCCCTTCCATGTAATTGGTAAATACATTTTTCCCTTTTTCCAGATTGGTACAGGTGTAACAAATGCTTTAATCAACGCACGAAAGGCTATTGATAAAACCTTTGCTGGTGAAGCTGAGGATTTACCCGTTCTGCCGACCAGTGCTGCATATGGTGTTTACATGGCAGTCTCAAGCAACCTTAGGTACTTTTACATTTTCGAGCACTAGTGTCGTCCAAACTAGTGATCAGATTCTTCCATCTCTTTGCTAGGAGACGTACTTGGGAGGAAATTTCACATGTTTTACCCCGTCACTGTGTTCAAGACTACCTATTTACAATATGAAACAAGTGTTTCTTCTGTGGCTACCAGTTTTCTTGCCATAAAACTACTTTTTCTAATTGACCACCTTCATCATCTTCCTTTCAACATGTATTCTTCTGTCTCATTATCTTCTTTTAAGATATCCTTGTTCAATCGTTTTACACATGGCCCTTTTTTGGACATAGCTCCTTGATTCACAGTACACTATATAAAGTGCACAAGCTTGGTGTGTCTTCCCTGTAAAGTTAATGTGGATAACCGTAGTTTAAACATTCTAGTGAAGAAGTTGGATCTGTTTACAATGGCCTTAAAAATTAGCTTCTAGTAAAAGGGCTAAGCATATACAAAGTGTTCTTATAATTTACAATTATGAAGTTTTGTCGTCTTAACATGTCATAACATTGAAGGCTCGAATCTTGTCTCCTTTTTATTATGGAGGACGGATTGTGAGTGATCTAAGTGATTTTACTCCTTTACCAGGTACCAAATCCTTGCTGGAGTTATTGAACAACGAATATTGGAGCCATTGCTACACAAGCACAAGATCATACTTGGTGCACTGTGCTTCGTTTTCCGAACTGGCAATACCTTTTTGGGATCATTAATGTACACGTTCTTTCCTCTTTAAGGTCTTCCTTGGGAACTTTTTCTTTATCTTCGAGCTCTCTAAATCTTTTCTTCTCTCTTACCAGGTGGGTGGATTTTGCACGTTGGATTGGAATCCAAAGGTCACGAGAACAAAAAGAAACTTAGATAATGGTTCCCAGTTTTGTGGTCAACCAAGGATCATTTGTACACGTTTTTATTTTAGTTTTGTGTTTTTTGTTTTAATTGAACTTCAATTTATAACAGTGGTGAGATTTTTTGTCACACTTTTTACTGCTACTTTATTTTGTTGAATTCAAAAGAAGTAAGGGTTCAACATCTCTTGGTTGTGCAAAATTTATTCTTGTTGATAGCTTGTGCTCTATGTTCACATATATCTGATAGGAGCCACAACAGGATTTGCGCTGAAGACTTGCATTGATAAAGTTTGTGTTAATCTTCTATCCACTCCCCTTTTTGTAAGAATCTCTTGATGTAGACTGATGTTTGGCGAGCTTATTGCTCTCTTTCAATGGATGTGTGCTGAAGGACGAAGGTCTAGGTTATATTTTAAAATCCTATGGTCACCAGGTAGTTCTCTTCAATCTATAATAAGATTCTCTTCACATATCATGCGTTAGCATGTTGTCTTACATTTCTGCCTAAAATCCTCCTCTGAATTAAGATAGGGCTTGTTGCCATGGATATTTATGTTGACTTGTGGAGATCAACTTCATCGTCTATATGAATGACTAAGATTGTGGTGTCCTAGGAAATTCTTCTTAACAGTAATTCGGTGCATCTTGGGTTTTCTCATTTTTAATCCATTATCTCCTCAAGTGCATTCCACATTGTTAGGGAGTGTGTTGGTGGCTATTTTTATAGGAAGTAAATACATGAGAAAATATACTCGCGTTATCATTAGCAAGCGGTCTAATTTGTAAAAATCTCTTCCTTCTCTGCCAACTAGAAAGAATTCTGGAATCATATTACCATTGTAGAAAAAATAATATAATTTCAGAATGTCAGAAGTGAATTTAATGTTGTTTTGAGTCAAATGGCCAGCAACCTTTGATGATTTTTGGTTATTCGAAATTCCGATGTTTCCCCTAGAGATATTTAAGGCATATTATTCAGTTATTGTTGTATAAGCTTACATGAAACCTGGGATGTATTGAGATCTTGAGCTAATCTTAAAGCAGCACTAATCCCATGGAAGACATTTTCACAAGAATAGAGAAGCTTTGAAGCGGGACGTTCCTGTTAAGTGAAGTGGGGCTGCAATCTTGATGGGATAAATGGTGGAGGAATACCAACGATGGTGACCAGCAAATGTTTTACGCATAAAGGAATTTTTTAAAGTGGAAAGTAGTAGTCACATGCATTTAACTGCTGCTGTTATGTTTTCTTGTTAAAAGAGCGAAGCTCCAAGATATTTTATGTTCTTTATGCTTACCTATTGTTGATAGGGAAAATTAATCATCTAATCTTTTTCGATTACGCAGATTATTGATCACAAAAGCTAAAATTTATTCCGTTTATCTGAATTGCTCTTTCCTTTTCTTCTGTAGAATATTTGGTATATGGTTATGCCTGCCGAAGGGGTAGCTATTTCCAAAAGCTAATTGATCTCAGGTAAGTTTCAAATTTACTCTTAGATAAAAATTTCTTTGCACATAGTATATAGGCTGAGGCAAAAGGTCCGGGTATGTGCTAATGTCCATGCTACCAAAGACTTCCATATGCATATATTCTATTTTTTTGGGTAGACTGAGGAGAAAGTCTGATCATTATGTGCTAGGTAGATATCCGCATAGTGTTTCACTAAACCAAGCGACTTAGGTTAAGTGATAAATGTGTGGATGAAAGAAACATATCTCACATTCAGTCATTTGGTGTAAATACAGGATGTTGCTAAGTTTTTACCTCAGTGCTAACGTCCACATTAGATAGTCCCGTCTCGCTAAGCGTTGTTGGGTAGAATTACCAGGTAACTACTTTTTTTTTTTTTTTTGAGATAAGGGAATTACCCAATGCTATGCTGGTGGAAGGTAGGTATCCGGTGGAAGGACATCACCATCATCATAGAAAAGAAAGAAGAAAAAGACGTCCACATTATCAGAACCAAATTCCTGGTGAAAGACTTATCGAGGCTCAATATATCCTATTTTTTAGGGAGATCTGAGAACCAACATTTGATACCTCGGTACAGGCTCAAGGTAATCCATTCTTCCATAGCTACTATCTAGGGCTTATTTGCATGTTGTCAATTTAGAAGTCTCAGCTGTACTACCTACGAACTTTTTGATACATTCATCAATTTTTTTGGAGATGTCAACTACTGGATGTACTAGTCTTTCTGGTGATATCTACATAACACACTTCATAGAGGTATGCAAGGACACATTAGTGTGGACATTTTCCAGTCTAGTCCAGACTTCATTTCGATATGGAAACCTGATGCACAATATTGCATTTGTGCATCTAGCAATTCGAAGTTTACCTCAGCTCTTGCACTACATTTCACGCCTATTAAGAGGCTTGATTGTCAGAAAAAAGAATTTGTCTTACGTTCATCAGCAGTGAATTCCAGCAAATCAGTTTATAAAGGAATGCCCGTCCGTATTTTTGAAAGAATTTAATTATTAGCTGAAGAAATTTTATGCTGCTCCATTTATCAGTCTTCAAGAAGCCATGCGCTGAAAAGACCTCTTTGGTGGTGACACTTTTTATTGGCTTAAGAACAAACAACTAATATTGAGTACTTCCTAGCGCACAATTTGTTATAGGCACAAGTCATGGTCTTAATTTTTAGCAAAAAATTATTTTTCAACAACAACTTCAAAGTGCACATGCTTTGCTGCCTATCCGGCTATTTCAGTCAGAATCCTCTTCACAGTTACAAACTTAGAAAATTCAAGAATTTGTGCTAGTTGCAGAGCTTCATTACCAGACCTCTATCTCTGGAGATATTACAATAGGACTTCTTACTGTATGATTTCCATTCTCTTCCACCCAGGTGATTGAACCAGATTGGACTTCTTGTTCTGCATCATCTTTGTAACGAATGGTCAAAGAATAGCTTTGCTTCTGGTTTTTCTTCTTAAAAACCAATGTTTGTGGTGAGACAGAAATCGTTGAGTTCCTTGGTGCTTTCACTTTCACTCTATACTTAGCTGCACCACTTCCAACATTTGTTACTGTCCTCCTGAATTTTTGTTCCAACCAAGTGAAGTTCCCTTGCGGGCTAAAGAATGCGATAAATGATGGGTAATTGATATCCGTGGATGTATTTGAGCAGTTGTGATTGGCTGAAGATCTTGCAATTGTTTTCAACTGCTCTTCTGTGAAATTCAAAGAACAAAGAAGATTAACATAATCTTGCGGCGTGGCATCATATATGAGACCTGGGTCAAGAGCCCGGTTAGGATCAACATGACCAGCTCCCATGTCTAGTGGTGTAGCACGTTTGTTATCCTCAGAATTTTTTATGGCTTTTTGATTATTATCCAAAGGGTTGGCAGTGGTCATCATGGCGGAACGAATTGCTGAAGGGCTCCATTCAGGATGTGCACCTTTAACCATTGCAGCTATTCCAGCAATGTGAGGGCCTGAGGGGCAGCCATGGATGTTCCTGATTCAAGAAGGTAATCAGTTGCCAATTGTATATTGGTACCAATTTTTGCTACTGCAATATTAGATGGGTAGGCGGCTAGAATTAACACTCCTGGTGCTAATATGTCTGGCTTTGCCACTCTCAGGTAGCTTCGAGAGGGGCCTCTAGCTGAGGATGCAGAAACAACTGGAGCAGGCGTTGAGTCCAAGTATGTCTCCAGGAAACTAATGCTGGCCTTGGGTTCAGGAGTCTTTGTGACATAATTCATAACCTGTTTCCCTTCCTTGGGGGTTATAACAACTCCCGGATTTGGAAATTCAGTGGACCTTAATATTGCTGGATCATCGGTAATAAAGATGGCTGCTCCAACTCTGGCCTCTGCAACAGAGTTCATTTGGTCAGTGACTACTTCTGCATCTCTGCTCCTCTGACAAACGATGACGCTACGTCCAGCGTCAGGTACTTGGGCTAACAATTCAGCTGAATCACAAGCAGACAATGTCTTGTTGTAAATTACAGGCCAATTGCTAATAATTGCTCTTGCTGGAAACAAGCTCCATCCCCTAATCTTTAGACCACTTCCCAGTGTCAGAGTCCCTGAAAACCAACGGTCGGTATGGCCTGATGCCACTGTGAAGATCCATGGTACCCCATTGTTTAAACTTCCCATACCAGGACCACGATTTCCTGCTGAAGCAGAAACTAACACGCCCTTGGCCATGGCACCAAAAGCAGCTATTGCAATAGTATCTTCATATAAAGGAATAAAGCGCCAGCCGTAGGAAATGCATATCATGTCAACACCATCTGCAACAGCTTGGTCCATAGCTGCAATCAAATCAGAAGCGAAGTTTCCCTCATCAAAGCTAAACTTATACACCGCAAGTCTAGCTCACGGTGCAACCCCTTTTGCTGTTCCTGGGGCGTATCCGAAATATGAAGCTCCTTTGACAAAACTACCAGCAGCAATAGAGGCGACATGGGTGCCATGACCACCAGTGTCCCTTGCAGAATTCATAGAAATGTTCACATCAGGATTGTTGGCCACTATTCCCTTATTGAAGTAATTGGCACCAATGAGTTTCCGGTCGCACAATGAAGTATTAAACTCCATGCCTGCCCGACAAATTCCCTTCCGTTTTTTGGGGATTTCAGGCATCCATCATCTCTGAAACTGGCAGATTCAGGCCAGACACCGGAGTCAAGTACACCGATGATAACATCTTGGCCAAAACCAGAAGCTGGCCATAGACCAGAGGAAGGGTTGAGCTTAAGAAACTCAGAGGTACGCGTAGTGTGAGCTTCAAGAGACCTATCTTTATAAGCTGAAATGAAGCCAGTGGACTTCTTGAGAGCTTCTAGCTCATCTTTAGACAAAACTGCACTGAAGCCATGAATTACATTGTCATAAGAATAGAGAAGCTTTGGAGCAGGATGGCGGCTATTAAGTGAAGCTGGAGTTGCAATCTTGATGGAATCAATGGTGGAAGAATGCCATTGTTGGTGATCAGCAAATACATTAGGCATTAAGGATTTGTCCAAATGGACAATATATGTGGATCTCTCTGCTATGGCTACTAAACAGTAGACATGAGCAAAAAGAAACCAACATAAAAAGAGAAGAGGTAAATTAACTAGCTCCATTGCTATCTCTCAAGTTTGTGACTTCCTACTGCAGGGGAGGCCCCTATTTAATCTCCAAGGTTTCAAAACACCATTTTATTATGGCATCTTTCGTTTAAAGTAAATAATATTATATGAGCACATGGTGCAGTTTTTAAATGCTATCTTTTTCTGTGGAAAGAGAAAAAGACCTTTGAAATTTGAGCCATTGGTCCGTGGTGGCTTTTTTTTCTAAAGTGTAAAGCTAATGCAAATTGCAAGTATATAACAAACACGGTCATGAGCAGCATTGTAGCTTTTGGCTTTGCTTGCATACTTTTTTTTATTTATTTAAATTATTACTATTATTATTATTATTATCATTTTGTTCTTTCTTCTTCATCTTCTTTTTGACGAGCTTGGCTCTACTATGTATTGACCTTTCAGAAAATCTTGGGTCAGTTATGTGTTATCTGAATATATAACTATAACGTGTAATTTTGTAGGAAATAAACTTATGTACTCTACAAATATATAACTTCTAGGTTTTAAATTACTGTAAATAGATTGTTCAGGTCACAGACAGTATGAAGGACTGTCTGTTAAGTCCTAAATTATCATAGATAGAGCCCATGTAGTGGCGGAGCCACCTTTGTACAATAACACCATGTTGAATTCCCTTAGTTTATTAGTGTGTCTACTTTTTATAATTTTTGTCTTCCCTTATAGTGAGAATCCTGGATCTATCACTAAACACATGGTGCAGTAGTCTTTTTCAATATATAATTGTGCCAAAAGAGAACAATACCTTTGAAGTTTGAGCCACTGGCCAATGTGGGGGGTTATCTGTTTAAATTACTGCAAATTGCAATACGACAGCACATTGGTTGGCAGCTTCGCAGCTTTTGGCTTATTGAACGAACGTATTGCGTACTTTTATCCTTCACCTTTTCCTAAATATTTTTTTTTATAACGGAAAAGGGTTCAAAATGCCCCTAAACAATTGGAAAAGGTTTAAAAATATCCTTCATTCACCTATTGGGCTAAAAATACCCCTTCATCCACCTTTTTGGTTCACTTATGCCCTTTGACCGTTAGGTCAATGCTGAATTAAAAATAATTATTATTTATTTTTTAAAACTTAAATATTTTCGATTTTTTAAACTAATGCACCAGTAGTCCACTACTTTAGTAAAGTCTTCTTCTTCATTTTTTTTTTCAGTTTTTACAAAAAACAATTCAGTTTTTACAAATTTTTTTTCATTTTTTCAGTTTTTTTAAAGCATTTTTTTCTAAAACTGAAAAAAAATTGTAAAAAAAGAAAAAAATGTTTTTAATAAAATATTTTCGTTTTATAAAAACTGAAAAAAATATTTTCAACAAAATATTTTCGTTTTTGAAAATATTTTTTTTCAATTGTTCTCAGTTTTTTTTTTTTAAAAATGAAATCTTTTTTCTTTTAAAAAAAACCGAAAAACAAAAATAAAATAAAATGTTTTAAAAAAACGTGAAAAAAATGAAAAAAATATTTAAAAAACGTAGATATTTTGTTGAAAATATTTTTTCCATTTTTCGAAAAACGAAAATATTTTATTAAAAATATTTTTTTCTGTTTTTACAATTTTTTTTCATTTTTTACCGAAAAAATACTTAAAAAAACTGAAAAAAATAAAAATAATTTATTTTTTTTTGTAAAAACTGAATTGTTTTTCTTAAAAACTGGAAAAAAAAAATAAGAAGACTTTACTAAATTAGTGGACTATTGGTGCATTAGTTTAAAAAAACGAAAATATTTTGCAAAATATTTTTTTTAAGCTTTACAAAAAGAATAATAATTATTTCTAATTTAGCATTGACCTAACGGTCAAAGGGCATACGTGAACCAAAAAAGTGGATGGAGGGGTATTTTTAGCCCAATAGGTGGATGAAGGGTATTTTTAAACCTTTTCCAATAGTTTAGGGACATTTTGAACCCTTTTTCCTTTTTATAATAATAATAATAATCATCATCATATTATTATAAAAGTGGAGCCCTTAAGTTAAAAGTTAAATTACTTTTTTACCCCTCTTAAAATCTAATTATCCTCCTTATTTAAAAATTTTAAAAAAAAAAACTCTCAAAGCCCAAACCCACGCTTGATGTACAGATGTGTTCCTTCGTAAGATTGTTGGACCATAATGCCCTTTAATAAAATAAATGATTCCACATTATTCGATCACTAAAACATTATGACTTCACAATTTCATTCATCCGTGTGGAGATGAAAGAGACGTTATCTGTGGCAGGGTCGTGTCGTTTGGATTACAATAGTGCACCTCTTTAAAGCATCCTTTGTTTAGTGCATTTATGTATAATATTAACTGTTGAAATTCCTACATATCTGTAACCAATCAAATTAATTCTCTCTCGGATTCTTATTTTATTGAATTATTTCTAACCTTCTCCTTTTTAAAGTCCAACCTTCGCTCTTTAATCGCTCAAGTATTTCTAACAATTTGGACTTTTGGACTCTTCTTCCGCAGACCGCAGGTACGTAATCCCAATTTCTATCATTTGTGCACCGTCTTAATTAACTTGGTTGTTTAATTTTTTTACTGGGCAATATGATGGTGATTTTATCAGCTTTATTCCATTGTCTATGGATAGATTCAGGTAAAAGTAAAACACTATTTACTATGTAATCGCTTTTAATGATTAAGCACTATCTTTAGGAGTATAGACGCAAAAGAAAAATTGCAGAATTTGTTACTTATAATCATTTTTTAACACTGTCTAAAAATGTTAAACTTCATGAATGGTATTAATATTTGGCAAACCAAGTTTCGCTGATTCAGTCAATTGCTTGAGAATTAAACATCAACTATCTCATAGTATAATTAAAATACTTGCACCCTGAAGGGACGCCCAGTTGGGTTTGGAGGGAGTTTTCTACACATGGGGTTCGATCCCCCCTCAATGCCTTTGGGTCTGAGCCTGTCGCACGGGCCTTGCCTAGTGCGGTTTACATCCCCTGTGTGGTTTGCAAGGCTATTACATGGTGCTCACCCGAAGGGCAGAGGTTGCAGGCTATTACACGGTGGGGGGTTTACCCAGTGCTCACCACAGAATGCTCACAAAAAAAAAATATACTTGCACTAATGTTATGAATTTAACAACAAAAAATAGAATTAATCATACAAGTAAAAGAAGCGTTGCTAAAACATTAAAAAGAGACAGAGGAGAGAGAGGGAAAATGTTAATACACAGTCTCTTGGAGAACGTCATCTAGGCAATCATATCAATATTTTTTTTAATTGATAATGTTGATTATGTTATAAATAAGTAACTATTCCAATTTTTAATTTTGTATGGAGAAATGAGAATCATTGAGAAACTTATAAATAAAAATAACGTGGGAGTCTGAAACAAACCAAATAACAACCAAACCAACTAGTAATATTGATTCACTGAACGGGCTTACAAATAACTGGAAATTGCAATAAAACAGTAAAGGATAATTGAAAGATAACAGAGAGAGATGAGAGACGGAAATACACCATAGAAGAAGGAGATGAGAAGCACAGAGCTTTTCACATAACATTTGCCTAATCTTCCAAGCCCAGACGATAACCCCTTTTATTCACTTAGTCACGTGTTTCCTTCACCTGGATCCCAGACAAATCTCTTGTTGGGCTTTCTAAATCTTGAACCTCTTCGTGGTTTAGCCCCCGGCCCAACAGCCTCTGTCCAAATATCTGTCCCATACACATTATTTGAGTTATCTTGGTTCACAACAATACTCCCGCCCTAAAAAAGAACCTTGTCCTCAAGGTTCGAGTAGAGCCACGGTAACATTATATTAGTGAATCTGTCAAGACTTGAATATGTGTCAAAAGCTGACCCATGTCTATCAACCTTATGAATTGATGACTCAAATTCAGTGCCCTTTGCCAATTCTAAATTACCAAGAGGAAGAACAGAAGCCACAAATCTAAAAATTGCTTCCTGTTCCTTCACCTTAAGTGCCACAATTTCCATTACCTTCTTTATACCAAGAGAGCCATGAGAACCAGTAACACTTACTAGTTCATAGCAATAAGACTGATTGAGGTAGTCAAATGATTCAGGATCCCCCAAACTACACCTTTTGTTCATCTCCGTGGGTACAGATACTCTTCTAGACTTGTCAAACCGAGTCTCCAGAAATATACCACAACAGCTTGATTTGTCAGTTTGTACCGTTTTGGTATTGCTAATTAGTTCAAGCACTGGATTTGACTCAAGAAGTTGCTGGTCCCGACTGTGTTCTGCAATGCTTATACAGCCAACAAAATAGGCAAGATAACACAGAAGCCTCCCAGTAGTTGTAACCTTTCCAACTCTACTGTTAGGACCAACCAAGATAGAAGTGCTTTTACCCTCAATTATCATTGGCCTGTGAACACTTTCAGCAACAACAATTGAAGCTCTTTTCATCAAATCAGCCTCTACATCGTCTAATAAAAGCACATTTTCATCATAGTCAAGCTACAAGTATGTAGTGCAGCAAACTCATACAATGAAGAATCGGGCGGAAGCTCAATAATTCTATCACCCGGATCTAAAATAGATCGTAGTATAAAAATAATGAAGTCATCGGCACCACATCTAGCAACTATTAAGGCAAAATCAGTTAGCAAAAGGTATGAATGGATACCCCATTTTCGTCCAAGATCCCATACTTGAGTCATAGAGTTAGCATATGGAATAAGGTAAAACTTGCCAGTAGATCCCACTAATAATAGTGCCGCAATGTTCACTGCATAACTTGTTAGAGCCATGAACTTGGAAAGTATTCCTGGATCCCATACAAAAAGATTCATCGCAGGTTGTTGAGCAAGTAAATAACAATCAGTTATTCTTGCATGCTGAAACTTATTATTTCTACAAGGTGAAATAAAAAAGTTGGGGAGAAGGAGATTTTGGTCGCAGCTCTGTTTTAAAAGGCAGAATTGGGACTCGCCCGGGGCTCGCCCTGGGGCGGAGCACTCGTAAAACGCCTCTGGGCTTATGTGTGGGGCTTGGTTCCGTGAGACTTACGCCTCAGCCGCCGGGGCTTACGCCCGGACATGTCCAATCCCCGGAGTACGGGGCTCGCCTAATAGAACTTTATGCAATTGTGTGTAACTAACCTTGTAAATCCTCAAATTTTCTTAATAAATCGTTGACTATTCAAAATAACTTTTTTCTTAATCATAAATCATAAAGTTGAGAGTATTTTTATGTCATAATTAAAATAAAAATTGTTGTACGTTATCCACTAAGACTGCTGTATAGTAAATTTTAAATAAATCTTTCATTTAAAAGTATTTATTTATTAACTTTTGTTATGTCT